AGTTAATCTGGGAAAACTGACGATGAAAAAGTCATATTTCCGTCTAGCCAAGAACCAGCGAAACCGAACGAGGTGAACGGACCAGCGGACAAAGATTAAACAAAGTCAAAAAAGAACTCGAAATAGAAGAGCAAAAAGAAATCTGTGTCGTAAAGTCAAAAGAAAAAGAAGAGCAAAGAAAAAGGCAACGATCGGATGTCCGGAACCGGTGTAGAAACTTCTCCGTATGTTGCAAAGGCAAATCCGAAAAGCCGAGATCTAAGAAAAACAAGAAGAATATCACGTTACGAACGCCGAGAAGGATGAAGAGGAATTCCCGGCGCGATTCTGCTATGGGATGCCGTTCGGAAATTCCAGAAAGAAACGACATTAATCGATTTCGACAGCAGATCCAACGGATGTAAGCGAGGGAGTTGATGCGAGCGACGTGGAAGGCTTGAAGACCAAAAATTCTAGTGAAGGTACGGCTGTGCTGCTGTGCATTGACCGTTCCGAAATGTACTGCAGTAGACGATGCGGAGCAGCGCGCCCCAAATATCATCGCTGATGACCTGTAATGCGCCCGTGAAGCGAGAAATGTGAACTGAATGAGGCGATGCCAATATTTCCTAACCGCTTTCCGTCGAACGCGGCGGAGTGGATGTCTGATGAGAAATGTGCGTCCGAACCCCGAAGAATAAGCTGTGGGAACGGACACATGCGAGACACCCAAAGTTACCGATGCATTGTTGTTGTTGACGGATGGATTTACCAATGATTAACTATGCCATTGCGAAGCCAAAACGGACAAACGAAAGAGGCGATGTTCCCAGGCCAATAAGTAGATCAACGATCGCAGTTATTCATCTTTGGGTTTCGCCGCGGAATACCAACGCGTTTAGAACCATCGTTCAAATCCGTCGCCTTTGGCGATTTAAACATAAAGAAGAAAAAAAGGAGATCCGAAATGTCCTCACGCAATAACCAAAGAAATTCCCTGCAAAGCCGAAAGGCAAAAGGTTTCCGTACAGGTTACCACACCATGTGTTGATTCTGTTTAAACTATGATGAGGCCCATGTCTACAATAAACCATAGTTGGCAGCGTTGATTCTTATCACGTAAAATAAAACTGACGGAAGAGCAATCAACAAAGATTTGAAGTGAAAGCAAACATCTAACCAAAGCCAGACAGTGTTTATACCGAACCAAGAAAGAACTGGAGAAACGCGCGAAGAATCTGAACCAACGCTTGGATAACCTGACGAGCAAGAAGAAACCGCTGCAGAGCGAGTGCAGTCCGGCCGCCATGGAGTAGATCTGCCATAAAGCTACTTGAATCAAGCAATCCAGTCACAGTGGTGTAAGGAGTACACTCAAAGGTGACAACGCAGTGCTGGGCGCAGATTTCTACCGCACGGCGCTGCGGCCGACCGAAGCGGGGATGAAACGGTTGAGTGCGGCAAACAGTCAGCCGTTGAAAATATCCTGTGATTCTCCTTTGGATAAAGTGAACTGTGCGTTACCGACCGCCCAACGAAACTCAACCCGAAAACCCGAAAATTATTAGAGCAAGCACGGAAGGATCGTTTAACGCATTTTGAACAGCTGCTGGATATTCGCTGCCGGTACCAGACGGCGTAGAGCCGGAAGATGAAGAAGACCGAGCAGTAGTAGTAAACGGCGTCCCGCAAAGGGATTTTGAATTCCAGTTCCCTACTGGACTTCCGGACTGCAGTTTATGACATCATAATAATATTAAAAACATTAATAAAATTAATACAAAAAAAAAGCTAATTTAATTAAATAAAATTAAAATAATTCAGGGTATATGTCAATGAAACGGACAGAAATTTTCCTGGTAAAAAAACTCCAGATACTAAAACTCTGTTCTACTCAATCGCACAAAGTGCCAAAAATTCTCCGTTGCTATTCACAACTTTTAATAATAAAATATTTAAAATAAAAAAAGCCAAGTAATTCACTCACACTGACATCCCTATCATTGAATTCTCAAAAAGCGCAACACCGGAAACAGCTGTATGTGTTTTTCGTCCAACATTAGTATAAACGAGATCAAACATTGGTGCCCAGATCAAAGTAAGGCTTAAAGGCTAAAATACCAACACAAAAATTTGACCGTGATAGGAAACATAGCGACTGCTGAGAATCATCGGAATATGGCCTCTAAGCCCCGTCAGAGTCAGTATCGCTTTCCCAAGCGATCTGTTTCCGGGTAAGTTAGAGCACTAAATAAACAAAAAATCGTGAACAAATCATAAACAACGCGAACCCTAGTGCACTTATAAATAGGATTTACGTGGAAAACCGCACCACAATATCAGTAAATTAACAGCTACCAATCCCACGAAATTCCTTCACATAAAACAGCGAAGTCAACATTACAGCAATACTTCACATAACAAAACGGATCAGAAAATTATCTACAACGAACGCAACGAATCAGAATTTACAGGTTAAAAGCTAAATGAATAGAATAGTACATATTGCATATAATCGAAATGTACAACATTACCAGAGATAATTTCGTAACGAAAATTAGTAAAACAACAAATAAAAGGCGTTTCCAATAAAAAAATATAAAAACATGAAAAGATTATCATAAATTAACATACAAAATATCACAGACAAAATATTACATACAAAATACATACAAAATATTATTAATTTCAAATTATATACACTGACAAGAGTACCAAAGGATTACAGCTGTGTACCTGCAGATCGTCCTGGGGATTCCTGTCGGAGTCGAAGATGGTGGCCGTGTTACCCGTTCTTTAGATTGATGCCCAGACCGCCGGCCCGCGTTAACAAGAGGAAGACCAAGCGGTCCTAGTCTTCGCGTGAGAAACGGTCGATCGCGGTCTTCATTCAGGCAGAGAAAACTGAATAAAATTATTGGACGACAAGTGGTGGTACTGTAGTAATTATTTTTATTACACAACTATGTAGTTTTACCTATTTATTAGCGTTTGATAGCATATGTGACACAATTATATGTCAAAAATTCACGGAAAAATTGAATAAAGTTCCAATAAAAGCTAAAATGACTTCTTTGACGCGCACATTAGTCTTACCTAAAATTTTTGCATAATAACGGGCAAAATCGGTCCGTCGAAATATTCTCGTACTCTTCATCATCCTGTGAGTCTGCCAGTCCAACGTCTCCCGTTTTTCTCCCCGTCTACCGTCGCTTTCAGCGTGGCCTATCCCAAAATCCTCTTCGGGTGCCCCGTCGTCTCTGCTTCTGTCGTAATTCCCCATCGTCCGCTGTTGTGGCCCGCAAATTCCACAGCCCCGCGTCCATTACAGCCCCGCGTCTGTCACAGCCCCGCGCTCGCTACAGCTCTGCGTCCGTCACAACCCCGCGCCCTCCGCAGCCCAGCTTCCTGCCATTCTCTCGGTCCCACTCCCCTTACCCCCGCCCCCGCGCTGCGCTGCCCCTGCTCGTGCCGTTACCTATCCCGCGTCCTCCGCAGCTCACTTTTCTGCCATTCTCTTGGTACCCAACCGCCCCCCCCTCCCGCCCCGCGCTGCGCTGCACCTGTGTGGTGTACTGCTAGCTATAGCGCCCTGTTTGTACCGTTACCTATATGCGCTGCAAAACCACATTGCGTACGATTATCGTCTGAGAATTTTATTTAGTTATTTACCGTCGTATTAAAGGAATTGCCACAAAATCACAAAGTACACAGTTTACAAGTAACAAATTACTAGAAATTCCTTTGCCATCCTATTTCATTTACCTAGTTTAATTTGGCTAGGCAAAAACACTGGATATTGTCAAAATTGTTTTTTATGGTAAAGATCGTCGTCCAAGTCGGCCTTCCATTTGGCCGCCTGCTTCATTTCTTCATGCATCTGGGGCGTAATTTTAGAGGCAAAAAATGCCAATGGCACTAAAAAATGATTAAATTACCTAAAAGCTATAGAAATTAATAACAGCACTTACAATTTGCCTGCTGAGCGCTGCGACGCAAAAACGCGATGGTGTCCGCATCCAGATTCAATCTGCGGATTTCTTCTGGAAGGTCGCTGTCCTCCGGAATGGTGGATGAAATCTCGTTGCTTTGCTGGCTGGCCATGTTGTTGGAAATCTTGAAGTTGCAGACTGGAGATGACTGACTGAATTCATTCTCACTAGCACAGACTTATGAGCTAGAAAAATCTTTAACTGTCAACACGATGGAACGTGATGTTCCATCACTTTCTATTGAACAATCGCATTGGAATGCATACGTTTTCGATTGCGATTCTCCTAAAATACAATATCTCTAATTTTACGCTTAAACGTTAGAAAATTTAGCAGGTACCTATAAATATGAGTTGTATGTATTTGTAAATGAAGTGTAATGGTGATGTTTGTGATTTGGCTGGCCGTGCTATTGTGATATCATTTCCTTGTTTGGCGCGTCTGTTGAGCGTGTGTGCGTGTACATCTGTGGCCAGAAAAGTTCCTGGCGGCACTACGCACATTTTTCCGCACGAACTCTACCGTAAGTTCCTTGTCTAATTACTATTTACTAATTAACTTTTCTGACCTAATACTCCGAAGGCTTACACTGAATACTAATTGTTTTGTTGTACTCGAGCAGAATTAGGATTTTGTAATCCAGTAAACAGTTTCGGGACTTAAAAGTTTGCCCTGGCTCTTTCGGAAAATTTTCAACACTGATCTAGACGAAATTTTTCTTTCTGCCTAAAATCAACTTTTAATCTTTTTGCTCTCTGTTTCATACTGTAAGACTTATTAATTATTATTGAATATTATATTATAGCTACTTTATGAGTCCGAATGCAATTAATGACTGAAATTAATTATTTACAGGTTATTACCTGCGGGATAGCGATACTATTAGGAACACCATCTAACCACACACACAGCATTGCGTGAACGTCTACGACGGTACAATTTACTATTCGGAACCAAATTATTCTGTGTTCCTAGCATAATATTAATATTGTTACATCCTAATTATTGCTATACCATTTTTACCGCAATTTATTTTTAATATCATTAAAATGTCTTAATTGCAGATAATTTACCACAATTACAACGGACTACGACCATTTCAAGCGCCAAAGTAAATTTCACCTTAAATAATCGTTTGTAAAATATCTGAATAATTTAATATAATTTTAATGTATTATAGCAATTGATCAGTTATATCTGCTGTAATTATAAGTGTAAGCATTTGCAGGCTGACATCACGACTGTGCTAGCATCATCACAACGTAAGTCCATATGGCTGAGCAGGAGCAAAGGTCAAAGCGGAAAATGGAACCAACAGAGTAAGCTGATTTCGTAAAAATATTCAGTGAAGCAAAAAGGTTTTTTAAAGCATAATTTATACTTTTCTCGATAATCGATTCCGGTTTTCAAAATTTATCAAGTATATTGCTGCTACTGAATAATATTCAATCTGCTGTACAACCAAATCAACCAAGTCTTGTATCTTTTTACCTTGATTTTATTTGAAGTGTAAGCAAAATAAAAATACAGTAAAATCAAAATTATTTTATAGTTCAAAGACATCGATACTATTTAAGTCATCAATTAGCCGAATCACCAGTGATGTAGTGCCAGAGTTATTTGCAAAAATGGAGCAGCAGAGAAAACACAAGCCAGCTCTCACAGCGCTTGCTGCGGCTTGTATAATTATTCTGGTAATAATAATTTTAGTAGGCGATATTATTCTGCCTATCGCAATAGCGATGATACAGCAACAACAACAGCAGCAGCAAGTGCTTAATAATAATCAATCAGGAACGTTATTTTCGTCGACGTACCCGAATGGGAGCGTCGTCAAGTCTGGCAGTATCCTTCGTTTATCATAGGTAAGCTTAAAGCGCTTTACCTGGTCCACAGCATCAATTTCAAGGGTCCGTTTATTACGCCGTATCACGGAAGAATACCGTAAGGGGTACACTTGAGGTCCAGGGGGTCGTCCAGAGTGAAGTGAAAGTATTTAAATTAAGTGTTTTTTTGATAGTTCGATTGAGTGTAAAACCTTTAACTTTGCAGACATGCTTTCCTTTGTTCGTCACATAAGCATAAGATTTAGGAGCACAGATGGTGACCTCTGTGATGAATTCACCATCATTTAATTCGTTTGTCAAGTCCCCCATGTAGTTTCCCAATGGAACTTCCGGATCTCCTTGCCGATGAATCCACATTAAGGAATCAGTATCAAAATATATCAGGTTACGTCCAACTTGGGCCATATAATTGTATAAGTGAAGGCGGGCATGGGCAGTCGTGAACCTAATTCATCCAACCAATAAACATTTTTGAGAAAAACGTATTTATTATATTTAATTTGCACTTACGCCGCAAGGATAACATTAGTCTTTGGGTTAACTGGAATAAAGTCTTCCTTGGACTTGTAAGCAACTTGAATTACGGTGTCACTGAAGAATTCGATATTGTGAATTTCCAACGCATCATTTAATAAAAGTTCATAAAAATCTTTGGGCTCGAAATAAACTGTGTAGACAATCTGTCCTCGCGCATCCCGAGTCGACCCCAAAAACTATAAAGAGAATAGAAACATTAAGCAATTTCAACTAATGTATCCTAAGGAAATTGAAGACTTACTTGTTTAAAAATAACTTTGCAAAGGCGCGAAGCCCCAAGTTTTTCCACTTTCTCGGCGTCAATAGATACACCTTCTCGAAGTAAAAATTCTTCCATATACAGCTTTCTCTTCTTCGGTTTTAACATTAGAGGGCCAGCCGCTGGCCTCCGTTTTAATTTCAAGAAATGCTGGATGTACTCTTTAAATAAGCCTTCGCGAGAACTCGGAAAATGCCAAATTTCGTAGACTTTTATCACCGTATATCCCAGGGATAGTGCCTTAATGATTTCCACAGAGCACCAGACGCCCGTAAGTGATCTTTCGGCGTCTGTGTGATGACAACTAGAATTTGCTGCGTCTCAGCACATAGCCGGCATAGCGGAAAAGTTAATTTTTCAGTACGATAGGGTAGAACTGGTAACCATAGACATTTGGGCGGTAGAATCGTCAGGTAAAATAGTCCGAAGTAATTTTCCAAATTTGCATCAAAGTCCGCAGTAATTCGCACGTGTGGGCCAACTGGATATCTCTTCCGCGAATTTACAAAGGGATATTCCGAAATGACATCGGCAAACCTAAAAACACCTATCAATAAAATCAAGATTATAATCCTTTCTTAACTAATTGTACCGTATTTGTTCTCCGGGCTCGCATTTATAATGCAACCGTGTCCCGTTGGTCCGGCCTCCATATAGAGCATCGCGGGGTTGAAGAGGTGCGTGAACATGAATATCTTTTAGTGTTTCACGAAAATCCTCATCCTCTGCCAATTTCTGGTCGTACTCGCTTTCCCAAATTTTAATAACAGAGTATCCCATTTGCTCAAGGGCGATTTCTCGCTGGACGGTTGCCGCATGCAAATTCTCCATCGTTTGCTTGAGATGAGGATTTACAAATGTGCGTCTTGTGGTTGCGGGATTGCCGTGCCAGTAGTCGCCATAGAATTCGTAAATAATTTCCGCTTCTTCGTCATAACCGTCCACGTAATATTTTCCAATCTTCTGTTCTCTTGCAAGTGCTTTGCCTTCCGTCATTTCAATGTAGCACAACCATTTACCACATTTGACTGACTGCGTGCGCTGACTAGGGTTTTTCACAATTGCAATAAGGTTTTTTTCCAGTATCCGTGCGCGCCAGAAAAAATGGCATATACCCGCAATTGTTAGCGCGGAAGTAAATGGGCAAAGCCCACCTGAAATACCCATGAACAACTTTCGGAATTCTTGAGAGCAAACGCGTAAGGTGCTAACATCTTGCTTGCAGTATTTGACGAGCTCCTCGTTGACATTGTACTTTCCTTTCTTTTTTCTGCGATCTTTTCGATAAAATCCTTTGATAAAGTCTTTTCTTTCTTTGTTATTCATCAAGCTGTAATTGAATTCCTCCCTCTTAGGATAGGGATAATTTTGCCAAAATTTTCTGGGCGATTGACGGGATGAGGGAATTTACCTTTTGCTCTGTCGCTCGAACGCTTGAGCCCAAGCGTCTAACGATTGGGGATTGTAATTCGAAGTATCACGAAATTTTATGCCAAATTCAGGAACATCTAGTTGCATAATTTTTGAGCCGTTCATTATCAGCTTTGGAACTATCCCATTTCTTAGTAACCATTTCAGAACAAAAAAAACCGTCGAACGCTCGAAGATTATGGGCCAAGACGTGAAGTTTTCAAATAATCCGGAAAATAAAACTCGCAAAATTCTGTTGTTATATCCCGGCCAATATCGCACGAGTCAGCAGGAAAAATCCATTCCTGGCCGTTGTCGTTTTGAAGAACGGCCAGGTTCGGAATAAAATTGCCCGTTTCCGGACACGGGTATGTCTCAAAATCGAAATAGAGAAACTGGGCCTGTTCGTGCTTTCCGAGATCCTGGTCCGTCAGGACTTCGGGCTCAATGTAGCAGACGTGGTCATTTGATACGTGTTCTTTGCACACCGTGCAAAAAATCTCACCGCACACGTGGTCCGTGGTACGAAAAACTCTGGAGACAAATGATTGGCAAGATGGACAGACAAATAACGTTTGACATACCGTAATCCCGTTTTCTCCCGAGCCAGCAGCGCGATGATGATTGAAACACTCCTCACCGTAAAATGTTCGGCAGCAGTCCGAACAGTATATTCTTTCTTCTCCAGGATTACATTCAAATCGCAGGCATTGTTTGCAACGGTATTGGCATCGATGGCGATTTTATGATCGTATCCGCGATTGCAACGGTCGCACCAGTACGATGTTTTGAACCAAGCCGGCAGGCTTTTCAAGACATCAAAATGGTTACTATGATGTAGCAAACGAATCTTTTTTTCGGCATATTCGCCGGCATAGACGATCGTATTGAGGTGGTCGACACTCGTTATCAGGATTTGATAGTCCGGTAAGGCCAGTTGAAACTGTTGAACGTCTTCCAAAGTATATTGTCGAAGATCCAGTCCTGCGTTAGCAATGAGTTCTTTAGCCATTTTTGTCTGCAGCGTTCTGTCGGAAGCCGTACAGAGTTTTTTAGTGTGATACAAGCGTTCGTACAGCGGTATATTGTCATCTGCGAGGGCCTTAGCTATAACAAGCGCACGAGCCAAACAGAGGTTATCTGAATTACGAACAGGTATTACGCTCCTCATGGTCTCCAGCTTTTTGCGCAATAATAAAGGAACATCGTATCGACAGGATCCAGCGGGAAGGTTGGAATGGTGGATTTCCAGCTCAAAGAATCATCCAGTACAAATTCTTGGTTGGAATTGAGTACGCGGGAAACTTCTTTCATCAATCGCGCAACGGTTAACTGATCACGACGAATGAAAGGTGTGTGAATAGGGAACGAGAGGTGACGGCTATGCAACTTGATTCTTACCCGTTCGTGATCTGGGATGTCAGTAAGGATTTCATTTAAAATTTCGTTCAAAATGGCTGTTATGACATCGGGAATCTCAGCAAAAGGAATATGATTGAGGTGATGAACTTTGCACGCAAACCTTTTACACGTCATTTGATAACGGCGATTGTAAAAATCATTTAACGGTTTCAACACAAAAAAGTTCTTTATATGAAGCGGGTCTTCGGTAACATCGTCATCATTAACAGCATTAGTATCATTATCATTATTAGACTCAATTGAATCAGCAGCGTCAGCAGCTATGCGAGGTATTTTTGCAACCAGAAAGGTCACAGCAACTGGTTCTTAATGACAGCAGGGTGTTCCTGACTCTGCTTTACAAATTCTAACTCATCTGACTTTATATCAACACAATTTTTTATGGTAACGCCAGATCTGATACGTACAGACATGGTTGAGTCATCGGAGGCAGTCGTACTACGGTTTTCATGAACAAAAGCTGCTTGGGTATTGGACGTGGTGTCGATAATGCACCAAGATAGGGTTTCGGATGCGCATTGGCGGTGGAGCGGAGACTGTTTTCTGGCGGTACTTTGCAAAAGCAGGCGTATTGGTCCATTCTACAATCTTTTCCAGAATATCCATTCCGACAACCAGTTCATTGCACCGCGTATTTTATGGCGGGCAATAACGAACTGTACGTTGGATTTTTATGCAACCGGTAAAAGCCATGAAAGGATTATTGGATCCTTTTCTGACAAAGATGCTATACGCATCGCGGTACTGTGAATAACTTCGGAAGGTCCGGTCGTCCCGTTTATCAGTAAAGGTCTGGTAGAGCCAGTCCACGGATTCAGCGTTTGCTAATCTGATACGCTTGGCA